CGTCTCGCCCAGTTTCCCAGGTAGGTCTCGAACCCGCGGGCTCAGGCAATCCACTCACCTCAGCCTCCCAAAGTGCTGGGATTACAGACTGAGCCACCGAGCCTGGCTTTTTTGTCTTTTTAAAGTTTTCAATTTTGCAACCAAAATCGTAGTTTTCTCTTTTTTTAATCAAAGAGAAAAATCATCCAGAAATTTCAAATAGGATCTACTTTTTTCCATTTTTTTTTCCCTGTGCTACTGGTGTTCTGTTTAGCTGTGCTCCGATAATAAAATCAGTTACAATATATACCCCAAAATATAATCCTACATAATACTTTTAACTGTCCTACCTATCTTTTTCCTCAGGAAGAAAATTCATCTCTGTCACTATACTCTCACTCCCGACTTCAAACTAGAAAACTCTCCAAACTCTCATAAAAAGGCATGCTTTATCTGATGCAAACCATGACTACTCCAGACTAGAGTCATGAGGTCCATAAGAAGTGCTTGGCTGCCTGTTTTTTGTTTCTTTGTTTGTTGTTTAGAAATGAGGGTCTTGCTACGTTGCCCAGGTTGGACTCAAACTCTTGGCCTCGGGCAATCCTCCCACCTCTGCCTCCTCGGAACCTGGGGTTTGCTGGCACTGCAACCATCATTGCTCTGAAAAGCAAGGTAACTTCCAATCCCTTAGCTCAACGATAAATAAAACTGGAGAAAGAACAGCTTCCAGCTGGAAGACGCTAGCAGTCCTAGAGTACTACTGAGCCCTGCAGAGTAGAACAACATCACACACTCACAATCATGAGTGTTTGCTGCATTTACAGAAATGTATCTAAATATTAAAGAATTTTTTACTGGTGTTGAACAACAAGTATAAGGATTATTTTCTCCACTAACTGCTAAAGATAAATTTTCATGTTTATTATTACATAATAATCACTACAATTCTTCTGGTAAAAGACTGTATCATCTTTATGGTCAATGGTAAAAACTAAAAGATTTCTCTAAGAATTACACAACTAATCATACAGCTAATATAGCTATTAAACAAATAGCTATCTCACCACAAACAGACTGAAATACCAAGATTTCTTTTCTCGCTCTTTTTTTTTTTTTTTCCAAGTTGGAGTCTCACTCTGTCACCCAGACTGGAGCGGCCACCGCAGCCTCGACCTGCTGAGCTCCAGCGATCCTTCCACCTCAGCCTTCCAAGTAGCTGGAACTACAGGCACGCGCTACCACACCTGGCTAATTTTTTATTTATCGTAGAGATGAAGTCTCGCCAAGTTGCCCAGGCGGGTCTTGAACCCACAGGCTCAGGCAATCCACTCACCTCGGCCTCCCAAAGCGCTGGGATTACAGGCTGAGCCACCAAGCCTGGCCAAATACCAAGATTTCTAAGAAGATGAAAAGGGAGGAGGAAACTGACAGATCACTACAAAGATGCTTCTGACCTAAGAAAAAAGAAATCATACTGTTCCATCCATAGTCATTCAAAGAAACTCATAATCAGCTACAGAATGGAAATGTGCCATATTTATTTTTTGAATTAAAATAAGTAGTCCTCCTAATATTCACCGAATCACTTCTATAATTAAATAAAAACTCGTGTGTACGTGCACTCCCAAAAAATAAAAAAATAATTTTACCATCATAAAGCTGTACTTTTGTATGCAGGATTCATGATAGAAGACTCTATTATACCTCAAAGAATTATACTGTACAACCCTCATATCTATATAAATTCCCTTAAACAGAGATGCTTCACTAGTTTCCAGGCTATGCTAAATAGCAATGTTACTGTGGAAGCTTACAAAGTAGAAGGTTATAAACAACGAGCATTTCATGAGATGTCTACCTGTTTCCACATTCTCGGTCTCAACTTCTTGTTCTTCTGCCACATCTTGCATCATGTAAGTCTCATCCTCATAAACCAGAACCTGGGCCGCATAGCCCTGCTCTAATCTGGCACTGGGCACTGGCTCCACAATCACTGCTGGGTATTCAGAAACTTTGTCACTTTCCTACAAGAGCAAATTTAAAAAAACAATCAACCTTTGGAGTCACAAATTCTGAATTCGCTTATAAACCCTTGAGTTCATAACAGTCTCAAGTGGTCCACACAGTTTCACATATTATAAATATGAACGTAAAATCCAAAACAAGAGATGAGAAGGGCTAACTTTAATAATCCTTTCAAGTCTCAAGAGGTGAGACATAGACTAAACATTTTAAATAATCAGGGCTTTAGGATTAAGATGGCTGATTAAAAACATGCACATAATTCCTCTCTCATGCAAGCTGACGAAAACAGCAGCAAAATACTATTTTATACCTAAACCCACAAGAGAAGAGAAAAGAGCAACAAACAAGAAGAGATAAGAACAAAATCTTGGAAGATTGGAAGTGGATTGGATAGATGAATGGTTTAGCAGACCCAGGAAAGTCAAATCATAGCCTGGAAGGGGAGGGGGGGAAGTGTAGAAAGAACACACTATACAGTGGAGAATCTACAGAAAGCAACACCAATTCCTTCTGGAAATGGAGGAGCAGCATGTGGGGGCAGGGGGAAACAGGAGGAGGGAAAATAAGAAGACTCCAGGAGAGCTGTTTGGAAAGCACTTTCATTCCCAGGCCTTTCCCTCGACCGTGATCTAGGCAGCCAGACCCCCTTCACCGCAGCAGCCCGCTGGAGGAGTTACTTTCTGAAGAGGGAAAAACAACACCATCCTTGAGGCTGATGGGCATAGCTGTTAGCATCACAATGCACCCAAAACAGTTTCCAGGTGGCTTTCTAGTCCCCTACTTTTAATCACGAGCAGACAGGCAAATATTACTAGGCATTCACAGAAAAGCCTCTAACACAGAATATATACACACATATTCCACAAATATATAAGAGGAGGTGTCACATACGTAAAATAAGAACAGAATGCAATTTCATAGAGAACATTTAAAAACAAGATAAAGAGTTTTTGGAAATTAAAGACACAGTAGCTGAAATAAAAAAATACAGGCTTGGAAGATAAAACCGAGGCTATCTCCAGGAACCAATGAAAAAAGATAAAGCAACAGAAAACAGAAGGGAAGCCGGGCTGGTAGCTGGCACCTGTCATCTCAGCAGCTTGGGAGGTTGAGGTGGGAGGGCTACTTCAGCCCATAAGTTTGAGACCAGCCTAGGCAACACAGTGAGACTCTGTCTCTCTCTCTCTCTTTTTTTAAAGGCAATATTAGAGGACCTCTTGGACTGCCAGGAGGTCTACTATCTGCATAACAGGAGTTCTAGAAAAATAAAACAGGAAAAATAAAGAAATAAAAAATATAAGCTTTGGAAAGATAGCCAAGACGTAACTCAAGAAAATGTTCTCTAGCTGAAGAATACGAGCTGCCCATGTGAAAGGACCCAAGTGTCTGGCACAATGAATGAAGGGACATGTACATTAAGGCACGTAGTTGTGAATATCATCACACCAGAGGCAAAAGAGAGTCTACACACCTCTAGAAAGGAAATGCAGGTTATATGCAAAGACTCAGGACTCAGACTCCAGTCTTCTCAACAGCCATCCTAGAAGGAAGGTGACAATGGAGTGCCCTTCTTCAAAATCACAAAGGAAAACGATTTCCAACCTAGAATTCTTCTGCCATCAAACCATCTCATGAAAGTAGAATAGGCCGAGCTCAGCCTGTCATCCCAGCACTTTGGGAGGCCAAGACGAGTGGATTGCCTGAGCCCACAGGTTCAAGACCAGCCCAGGCAACTTGGCGAGACC